TGCAATTTGCATCTCTCTCATTTATTGCACCGACACATATTATATACTGTTTTTTAAAGGACAAAAAGGGCTTTAATTTGATATAACATATATATATATATAAATGCTTACTTATTATAAAAAAAATACAGAAAAATGCAAAAAAAATGAAAAATATTGTTTTTTTTTACAGTTTTTGCAATAATAATGTGTGCATAATTAGTGCAGGTTAAGGAAAGTAATTAAAAATAAATTTATTTATTTGTTCTGATTTACAGAATATATAATGTGTCTGGGATTTTAAGTTTTTTTTGGTAGTTACAGGTCACAAAGCACAAGGAGTAAAATAAACTTTTAATGTGGAGCGATTTTAGAATTTGGTATGTTTGTCTTGTAAGCTTAATAGCCATAAAAGAAAACAAAATTGCCACACAAAAGTATATATTTATATAAAGTAGACATCACGGGCTATTTACCTAAGGTTGTTTTGACACTTTCTACGTAGCCATTTCACCGCCAACCTCTGCTAAATATTGGAGTAAAATTGTGTTCTTTTTGGTTTTTGGCACACAAACTTATAACAGAGAAATTCTCGTGTATATTTTGTAAAGTTGGTGTGTGCTATTCCTGTACAAAGTTTTATTTTGTGTTCAGTTACATCTGCTGAGTAAAATGACACCCCCATTGTATGTCTTTTGCACTATTTCGTGAAGTTACAGTGCCATACAGGATACCTGTCCTTTTCAGTATTCACAGTAGAATTTTGAGAGATGGATTTAATGAGCCTTAGCTTCCATTTTGGGGTATTATAACAATTTGACTGTTCAAAAAAACCCCACAAAGGCCTACCATTTGTAAAAGTAGACACTCCAGGGTATCTTATAAGGTGCATATTGTGCCTTAACATGCCCCCATTTTTTCACCAATATATGCCAAAGTATGTGGTAAAAAATAATTTTGTGCATTTTTTACATACGGATTGCATTTTTGCTGGGCGTTTTGTATATTTCATATGTGCCACTAAGTTCAAACCCCCCAAATTATGCTCAGCTAAGTCTTCTGAGTAAAATGACACCCCATATGAATGTCTTTGGCACTATTTCGTGAAGCTACAGTGCCATATAGGAGACCTGTCCTTTACAGTATTCACAGTAGAATTTTAAGAGATGGATTTAATGAGCCTTAGCTTCCATTTGGGGTATTATAACAGTTTGACTGTTCAAAAAAACCCCACAAAGGCCTACCATTTGTAAAAGTAGACACTCCAGGGTATCTCATAAGGTGCATATTGTGCCTTAACATGCCCCCATTTTTTCACCAATATATGCCAAAGTATGTGGTAAAAAATAATTTTGTGCATTTTTTACATACGGATTGCATTTTTGCTGGGCGTTTTGTATATTTCATATGTGCCACTAAGTTCAAACCCCCCAAATTATGCTCAGCTAAGTCTTCTGAGTAAAATGACACCCCATATGAATGTCTTTGGCACTATTTCGTGAAGCTACAGTGCCATATAGGAGACCAAGCCATATCCGTTTTTACCAAACTTTGAATTTTGACGCTGGGCCTATGTGCAATTTCCAAGCATCTTCGCAGGTTTTAAATTCAAACTACCCCACAAAGGCCTACCATTTCTTAAAGTAGACACCCCAGGGTGTTTCAAAAGGTATAGTTTGAACCTTAGCGTGGGATCATTTTTCCGCTAGCTTGTACCAGATGTAGTGGTAATAAGCGTTTTTTCTGCCTTTTTGACATACAAAGTGAGTTTGCACAGTATATTTTGCAAACCTTATGTGTGCTACGACTGTATAATACTTCATATGTTGCTCAGCTATGTCGGCTGAGTACAGCAATACCCCCGTATGTACCTTTGCCAGGTATGTGTGGACATCGGAGGGGCACATTTGGGACACAGCCATTCCAGTTTTTTTTCAAACTTTGAATTTTTATGCTGTGCCTATGTCCCATTTTAGAGTATTTTACCAGGCTATATAATCCAAATTCCCCATAAAGCCATACCATTTCTTAAAGAAGACATCCCAGGGTATTTCAAAAGGCATATTTTGAACCTTAGCGTGGGATCATTTTTCCGCTAGCTTGTACCAAGTGTAGTGGTAATAAGCATTTTTTCTGCCTTTTTGACATACAAAGTGAGTTTGCGCAGCATATTTTGCAAACCTTATGTGTGCTATGACTGTATAATACTTCATATGTTGCTCAGCTATGTCGGCTGAGTACAGCAATACCCCCGTATGTACCTTTGCCAGGTATATGTGGATGTTGAAGGGGCGCATTTGAGACGCAGCCATTCAGTTTTTTTCTAACTTTGAAGTTTTACGCTGTGTCCATGTTCCAATTTGGAGTAGTTTAGACGGTTGGTTATTGAAACTTCCCCACAAACACATACTATTTATTAAAGAATACACCCTGGGGTAATTCAAAGGCATATTTTGAACCTTGGCGTGGGATAATTTTTTCTCTAGTTTGCTCCAGGTGTAGTGGTAATGAGCGGTTTTTTTTTTTGTTTTTTTTTTTAAATGTTTTTTTTTGTCAATCTTTCTTTTATTGAAGCATATTAGATGGGGTACAGAAACAAAGAGAGGGAAATGCAATAACGGTTTATAATGAAGGGTCAGTACATCTATAGTTTTGGTCATTTACATTTCCTGAGTAATGATGCCTCATTTTTTGTGTAATAGTGTTAATATGTCGTGTAACAGAAGCATGTTTAACATCATAAAGAAAGTTATGTTGGTTGATTAAACGGTTGTTCATTCTTAGGTAACAGTCTAACTGAGTAATACAGGCTGGGTTTAACTGTGAATTGAGATTTAGGTTACATTTAGTTAGTTTAAGTTCTCCTCAAAGCATTTACGACAGTGCGGTACAAAAACTGCCACTGGGGGGGCGTTATGGCCCATATGTGTAGCCTAGAGGTGTCAGAGACATTTAAGTTAAAGCCCTTGCGTAGTAAAATAAACTGAAACAATCTGTTAAACAGGGCTCTATAGCTGTAAACTTTAAATTATGAATATGACATAAAACAGGTGCTCAATAGTTATTATCTAACCCCTTAGGTCTGTGTGTTCAAATTCAGCCACATGTACAGTTATTTAGGCGTGCTTATGTCCACGTATGGTGTGCCTGGGGCTGTATGAATAGTCCAGGTAGGTTCGTTTAGCCAATGCCCTTGCGTGAGGTCGGTTTGAGCGTTTCCGCCGGTGGTGCCGCTGGGGGTTGTTTCCATGCGTCCTGGGGCTGCGGCCTGTGGGAAGCAGTTGTGGGTGATTGCTTGCTTGTGAGGATGATCGGTGTTGCTGTCCCAGTGTTTGGTCGCTGGGTTAGGTGGAGTCGTGGGTGTTCTTGGTGTTTTACACCCAGTGGGCGCCTCGGTTTTTCCTTTCTCAGGGCATGTATGTGCCATTTGTGCTGTGCTTGGCTGTGGAAGGTTGTTTGCTCCCTTGGGGGGGGGGAGGGTCTCCGCGGCTGGCCTGGCTTATCTGCCCTCCTGGGGCCTCGTGGGGTCTTTGGTGTGGCGCGCCTGGTAGCAATGGCGGGCCCTGCCACGTGTTTAGTGCTTGGCTTTCGTTTTGACCCGGGGGGCTCCCCTTGTTGATGGCTACCCCCTGTGGGTGGGTGTCTCCGCTGTACCTGTTTGTGGTGGTCGGCTTTGTGTGTGATTTTGCGCCAGAATCTCTGGATCAAGTCATCCAGTCGCTGTTCCAACGATTTGTGCCGCTCATCTGTCTCCTGCTCGAGGACAGCTGCCGCCATCTTGGTATCCATAGCTTGGTAATGCGTGCAGCGTTAGCTGTCCTGTGGGGATGTTCAGGTGAGTCGAGCTGCTTGATGACCGGGATGACCCCCGCCGGTCGGGGGGGGGGGAGAGAGAGTTCCTTGCCGCGGCACCTGTTACAGCTAATGCCCCGGAGAGCGGCCGTCTCTCCGTGGTCCGTTCTCAGGTAGGCCGCAAGCCTCGTCGTGTCAGAACGGCTGTGCAGGGGGTCGTGAGAGGCACCGTTTTAGTCGGTAGCCCCTCCTGGTACGAGGTATGGTGTGCAGTAGTCTGTGGGGTGTAGTGTTCGGGCGCTGTACCCCGGTTTTCCCCTCCAGACGCGGGAGCTCTGGCGAGGCACGTCTGGACTGCTTGCCTGCTTGGCTCCGCCCCCGAGCGTTTTTAAAATGTATTTTTTTACTTTTTATAACTTTTTTACTTTTAAAAACTAGTTTTTAAACTTTTGTTTTGCTTATAAATTTTTTTTAAACTTTCCTAAACTTTCTTAAAACTTTTTTTTACAGATTTAACATTTTTCTTTTTTTTTTTAATATATAATCTTTATTCGGAGACATCAACTCCGCTTTTTTTCTTTTTTTTAACACAATAGAATTAACAACAAAAAAAAAAGATACAATTAACAAAACATCCCGTATAAAACATGTACAGTAAGACACACATAACATCATTAACATCATTACTTTTTTCACATAGGTTTGAAGTAGTATAGTTACGTTTAGTAAAACACCTATGTTGTTTAAAAATCTCACTGTAAACAACTCACATACAAAAGGACATAACAGGACAAAACATCAAATGGTCATATGAGGTCACTCTTAATATAGTATCGATATCAACTTAGGCCCAGAAAAATTTAGGACATCTATCTATAAGTCAACAACAGCCTCCAACTTCGCCAACCAGGAGTTATAGCGTTCTTGATATTTTATATTTAACCCAGCTTCCATTTTCAATTGATATTTAATTTGTTCCTTAACTACGGGCCAGGAGGGCACCAACTCCATTTTCCAATACCTTGCAACAGAAAGTTTCGCGGCTAGTAGTATATGCAAGATAACCGGCAGTGAACTACCACTAACCTGGTGGATATCTAATTGCAAAAGGCATATCTGTGGTACCATAGGTAAATCACTCAAAGTAATAAGTTTTATCCTAGATAAGATCATTTTCCAAAACTTCTGTATATACCTACAGTCCCACCATATATGTAGATAGTTCCCACATTCCACATTGCATCTCCAGCAATTGGCGTTACCTGAATTACTAAACTTCTTAATTTTACTGGGGACCATATACCACCTATTTATGATTTTAAAATGGCATTCCACCAGATTAAGGCAATGGATATGTTTATAGGTAAGATTTAAAGCTTCTCTCCATTGGTTACAAGTAATCTGATTTCCCAAATCTCTTTGCCAAGAATTAATTATAGCTTCTAGAGGTTCATCTGAGTTTTTTTGTAATAGGTTTAATCCCATAGATAATAGTTTTTTTGGAGAATCCCTATCAAGGATGTTTCCTATGTCCCTTAAGCGATCACACCTTTCTGTGATAACATATTGATGACAAAAGCCTTTTAGTCTAAGGTAATTGAAAGTCTCCTTATTGTCTATTTTATATGTTTGTTTTAAAGTTTGGAAATCCATCCATCCGTTTCTATCCATTAAGTCTTGAAATTTATATATGCCTTTTTCAATCCAGCTTTTTACGTTAAAATTAGTCATATAGTAAGCCATATTTCTTAAAGAAAGGGAAGGGATTAACTTATTATAAAGACCTAGTGAATTTTTAGTTTTTTTCCACCCCCTTAGAACATTGTTCAGAATAACACTTGATGAAATGGGGTTTACTTTATGATCGGTCTGTAATTTTAGGGGCCAAAAGAGCACAGACAGCTCCAACGGTGGACCCTCAGTTGAAGTAAGGTCTTGTTCTATCTTGTACCATATCTCATTCTTACTATCATTTAGTTGAGTAATAATTGCGTGTGTAAAGGTCGCAGCATTTTGGAAGTCTTTTAGAATAGGGACCCCCAGGCCCCCCTTTTTCACTTTTAAGGCTAAGCGTTTTTGGGATATTCTTGGAGGCTTATGTAACCATATAAATTTATTCAATAGGGATTGAGCTAAGGTCAACCAGCTGTCCGGGCACGGTAATGCCACCATTCTAAATAGATAAACCCATTTTGGGATAATATAAGATTTAACTACATTGATACGGCCCCACCATGAGATCTCTAAATTTTTCCAATTTTTTAATTTCTTTGCCGTAGTTCTAAGAAGAGATAGGAGATAGGAAATTGAGTTCCATGATAATATTAACGTCATTTGCTATTTCAATTCCCAAATAATTAAAAGAAACCTCCGCCCAATTAAATTCATATCTCTGCCTAAGTATTGCCCTTGTATTCTGTGGGGTATTCATTAGTAATGCAGTCGACTTATTGACATTAATTTTATAGCCTGAGTGTAAAGCGTATTCATCTAAGGTATTAAAGAAAGCTATAGAGGAGTTTAAAGGATCTGCTAAATAATAGGATTTATACGATAGTGAATCTTTATGCCCCAAATTTAGCCCCGATTAAGTTTATTAGGGAACTAATGGATATAGTAGATAGAAATAGGCAAGGCATGGTAATCTATTTAGGGGATTTTAATTGTATGCTTAACCCAGAACTAGATAGGAGAAGCTTAATTAACGATCAGTATAATAAACAGCTAAAAACCTCTGCTAAATCCTTCAGTAACTTGTTAAAAAATAGGGGCCTTTTGGATCTCTGGAGGATTTTGCATCCTATGGAATATGACTATACTTGTTTCTCTGGGGCTCACCGGGTTTATTCCAGAATTGACCTAATAATATCAGACCCAAGCATATCCAAAATGCTTAAAAAAGTTTTTATTAAAAATATTGCATGGTCAGATCATAATGCGGTAATGATGATTCTGGATGATGGCTTGAAGGATAATAGATCAAATTGGAGATTAAACGATCGTCTATTAAGTATTTCAGAATATTTAAAGCAAATTAAGTCAACTACAAATTTATTTTTTGAAGAAAACACTAAAGATGACTTACCATTACCTATTATATGGTGCGCCTATAAGTGTACAATTCGAGGACATTTTATTAAGATGGAAAAAAAGGAAAAAAAAAAGAAGGGAAATAATCTTACGCACCTGTATATACAACTAGATCAATTAGAATATATAAATAAAAATAATCCATCTATAGATATTACTAAACAACTCTCTATCATTAAAGAGAGCATTAACGATTTACTAATCCAGAAAGCAAATTGTTCATTAGAAAAATTACGAAGGACATGGTATTACAGGGGGAATAAAGCGGATAAATTACTCTCGAATAGGTTAAAGAAGGATTCTACCAAGATGAGGGTAACTAAAATCATTCAAGAAGATAAGGTTCTTTTGAATCCATCAAAAATAGGTCAGGCTTTCCAAGCATTTTATACTAAACTATATAATCTTCCAGACAGACATTCCCCAGTTAATCTCTTAGAATATTTAGAGAAGTTAAATCTGCCAAAAATAACGAAATCTCAACTACAAAATTTAAATGACCCTATAAACCTGGAAGAGGTCAACCAAGCCATAGATAGATTGAAAATCTCTAAGTCTCCAGGTCCGGACGGTTTTACAAATACATTTTATAAATCTATGAAAGAAAATTTAGCAAATACCCTGAGGGATATATTTAACGAGTTTATGTTAAAAGGTAATATCCCGCCGGAGATGCTGAGAGCTAACTTGGTCCCTATTCTTAAACCACAAAAGTCCTCAGAGTTAATAACCAATTATAGACCTATCTCGTTATGGAATGAGGATTTAAAACTTTACTCCTCAATAATGGCAAGTAGATTAAATGGAATTATGATGGATATAATCCATAGGGACCAAGTGGGCTTTATTTCCAAACGCTCTTCGGTATATAATGTCAGACGTCTCATAGACGTAGTGGATTGGGCCCAATCGAGGAAATACTCCCTCCTGATCCTGTCTTTAGATGCAGAGAAAGCATTCGACAGGGTCAGGTGGGACTTCCTTGATGCGGTCCTACAAACCTTTGGCTTTTTTGGGAATATAAGAAAAGCAATACTGGCCTTATATTCAACTCCTTCTGCAAGAGTTGTGGGAGCGGGATTCAGCTCAGATTTTTTCTCGTTGAAAAACGGGACGAGACAGGGCTGCCCGCTCTCACCTCTTCTCTATTTACTGACAATAGAAGTTCTAGCGGTAGCAATAAGGAAAAATGAGGTAATAAAGGGCCTTAATTTCAAAAATGATTGCATTAAATTAACAATGTATGCTGACGATATTGTATTAACCCTAGCAGATTTAACATTTTTCTAAGCTTTTTTTTTTACCGTTAACCCCTAACTAGCAGTACGCAGCAGTAACAGTAAATTCCCCATTTTCCCATAACTCCCACCCACCCCAGCTAGCAAAATATATAGTTATAAAATATTTAAATTAATTAATTAAATAAATTGAACCCCTGAGGGTTAAAAAAATAAATAAAAGTTAATCCTCAGGGGTTAAAAAAAATTAGATCACAGTATAATACTGTGATCTCTATTTGATCGCTGTAGGCAGTGATCGACTGGCAGGGAAGGGGTTAATTTTTATTTGGACTAGGTAAAGTGTGTTTTTTTGTTTTTTTTACTTAAATGTTATTAAAACATTTTTTTAAGCTTAATTTTTAACTTTTTAAAGTTTCTTTTAAAACTTTTTTTAACGTTAACCCCTAGTTAGCCTAACGCCAAATCCCCCAATTCCCCACTAACTTCCACCTACCCCAGCTAGCTAAATATATAATTAAAAAATAATTTAATTAATTAATTTAACCCCTGAGGGTTAAAAAAAAAAGAATTAACCCTCAGGGGTTAAAAAAAAAAAATCAGATCATAGTAAAATGTAATCCCTGCCAATTGATCACTGTAGTCAGTGATCAATTGGCAGGGAAGGGGTTAATTTTTTATTAAAATGGGTAAGGGGGACTTTAAATAAACTTTATTTTTTTTTACAGCAGGGGGCAGGATCAGCACTGATCCGGCTCCCTGCACTTCACACAGAACCCGGAAGTGCAGGGAGCCGGTAGGTGAGTATAGAGAGCACATGTGCTCGCTCAGACTTGTGGTCAGAGCGAGCACATGTGCTGGGCAGACTGACCGGGTGCTCCCGGTATGCCTCTAATGCAGAGGCATACCGGGAGCACCATTAACCCCGCGATCGCCGCGATAGCGGCGATCCGGGGTTAATTTTACCGCGTGACGGACAAGGTCCGTCACCCGTCGTTAAGGGTCTCCCCTCTGTGACGGACCTCGTCCGTCACCCGTCCTGAAGGGGTTAACAATTGGTGGCGAGCGACGTGATGAATCCCACAGCACAAAAGGTCAGCTACAAGAGATGCAATATGAGGAGTTAAGGCGTGCTACCCTTAAGGACATACTTGAATGCAGAGGACGGGCAGCAAGCAATTTGAAAAAGAGAGACATTATTGCTTTGCTACTGGAGATGGATGCAGCACAGGGAATGGAGAGAGCTAATGTGCCCAGTATTTTGGATTTAACACCCGAGGAGATACAATTTAACCGGGCAGTGCAAATAAGGCTGGCACACTTTGGCCCCAACCCCTCAGCAGACATCGTGGAACGTGTGCAGGCAGCAGTAATGGCACACCAGGCGCTCCGTAAAAGAGGAGCTGCAGCAGCAGAGGTACCCAATAATAATTTTGGAAAGAAAAAGATATCCTTTGCTGCGTTTAAAAATTTTGTGGAAACAGAGGGAGAGATTGATGGGTTCCTGGCTGACTTCGAGAGGCAGTGTGCCCTACACCAGGTACCCGCAGATGAATGGGTCACCATCCTCTCTGGGAAATTATCCGGCCGGGCTAGTGAAGCATTTTGGGCCATCCCAGAGGAGGAGATCACCAGCTACCGGGCTGTGAAGGAAGCTTACAGACGGCGATATAGGGAAACCAACAAGCAGGTTGGTGACTCTTATGTAGAATGGGCCTGCAGAGTTCACCGTACCGCAGCCCACTGGATGGCAGGATGCCAAGCGGTAACTGGGGAGGAGGTGCTACAGGTGTTCTTGCTAGAACATTGCTGTGATAGATTACCTACCGGGGTCCGGGAGTGGGTCAGGGATAGGAAACCCTCTACCCTACCCGAGGCTGCCCGTCTGGCAGACGAATATACGAACGCTCGCAAGTTGGATAGTACAGCTACCAAAGTCCCTGCCAGAATGGAGTATCGACCAGCAGTAACTCCAGCACCTTCAGCCCCCAGTGCACCGCACTCCAGCAGTACCACCAGCTAACAACTATGTGCAACCCTCCCAGTTCAATGCCAGGGATTATTCACAACCAATTCGGTGCTTTGGGTGCAAACAGTTGGGGCACAGCTTCGAGACATATTGACCCAAGGATTACTCCACACAGCCAGGAAAACATCCCGATACTTCTATGAACATTCGAATAAAAGTGGACGACTGCTGGCAAAGATGCTCCAGGAAAAACGGAGAACACGACACGTCCACAAGATACACACGAAAGAAGGTGCCATCACCCGGCTCCCGGAGGGCATCCTAACGGCTTTCAAAGAATATTATAAGACGCTATATGACCAAACACAGCACAAATCGGGACGTACAGTAGCACACCATC